AATTTAACCACCTGTAACTCCCGAACCCTGGGGGCTATCGACGCGGGGGTGGTCTCATTCGAAAGCGGGCCTCTAGACGTACACTCGATTCGCGTTCGATAGGGTTCCTCGAGCAAAAGGGATCCCCCAAATTTGGTGCAGATTCGCCACGCCATTACGGAGATATGGCCGTTCAAAGTTTCAATGGTTTTCCATAGACAAGCTTTAAATCGTTTCATCCAGGTCGCCAGTAGCAAACAATAGAGCGCGGACAAACTAAGCAATTACACCATTTCAAGCATTTTATCTGCGTTATATGTTCTGTAAAAAAAAATGTCATATCGGCGGCATATTCTCCGATACCGATATATCGGCGACAGGCTGATATCGGACAATAATATTGGCAAAATGATATATCGGTCGGGCTCTAATATATATATATATATATAAAATGCAGTTTCCCTCCTCCCCTGTACGAGTGCTGTCTGTGATTGGTGAGAAAAGATGACCGCAGATGGCTTGTGTAACAGCAGAAACACGAGGCTCATTGAAGTCACACTAGGAAGCTCAGAGTCAGATGCTGCTTGCATGGCAGCGTTAAATGTCTCTGAATGCTTCCAAGTCTTTGCTGATCACAGAACAGGTTGGGGCCGCTGCCCCCTGGTGTCTCACAGCACAGACATCATAGTGTTTGCACAGCCTTCAGACCTATCAGTTCAGCATTTATACTGGCATGCTTTCAGCTCTTAGTCCATTTGTTTGTCAGTGTGTATGGTAACCCAGAGACATGTTACAACACACACACACACACAGTGTATTAGTCAGCGTATTTATTGATTCTTGTGTCTGTAGGTGTAGGTGCACACACACTTTTTAAACTAGAGTTATATTAATGACCTACCTGTCCAATAATATTCATCTCTCAATAGTAAACTCTTTCTAATTATTTTTTTCCCCATAGGACTTAAAAGACCTGACACAGCGAAACGAGTGCCTAGAACTTAAAGGTGAGCTAAAAAATCTCCTTATCACAATGTTCAGTGTCTGCACGGTCATTGAAAGTTCAGGGAGTTTTAAAATGGTATATTTCCCGTCTTGGGATAGTCATAGAAATCTAATCAAATAATGAAAAGTCTTGGAAATGTGAGTTTTTCCTTGTTAAAATATTTCTTAAAATATTTTTAAATATTTGAACCAGCATTAAAAAGAAAAGCCTAAACTCTATTTTTCTCCATTCCAAATTGTGATTAATACTAATTCAGCAAGGATGCATTAAATGGATCAGTAAAGACATTTATAATGTTACTAAAGATTTCTATATTTCACTCCCTCGCATAAGGGCATTCTATCACAAAACATGTTTTACAAATGGTAAATCAATATATTGTTTTCTGTGAGCGAGTAAACAGGGTGATTTTCACATCATTTTGTAGCAAAAACTCTAATCTACCACATCCAATTCTCAAAAGTCTTGTGAACAAATATTCTGTATGTGTTTTATGGCGCTATTTTAAATTGTAATAATATTTTTCAAAAATATCTTTTTTTTTTATCTTACCAACCACAAAATTTTTTGTTTTATGTATATTATATACATTTATTTTTCACACACAATCCATGAATAAGGATCAGTTAAGTCATGAGAATGCATTGAGAACCCATTTCATTCACTCCCATACACACACACACACCACTCACACTCACACACACACTCACACACACACACACACACACACACACTCACACTCTCACACACACTCACTCACACACTCACACACACACTCACACTCACACACACTCTCTCACACGCAGGTTCTCCGTTGAGTTCAACCTGTTAAGACTGGTTTGTGTCCTTGTTTGGTTTGTGTAGTTAATGGGTGTGTGTCCATAGACGAGCTGATCACACCATCAGATGATTCCAGTTTACTGTAAATATGAAAGTAGCAGAAAAATCATCACTATGTGTTTGACTTTGATCGGTGTTTTTACAAAATAAAAGAATATAAAGAGCCGTATCAGTGCAAAAGTTGAATCTAATATCTCTGTCTCTTTGTGTTTTCCTCTGTAGGAGAGAAGCTGGATTATAAATCATGTGAATCTCTGGAGGAGATCTTTAAGAGGGTGCAGTTTAAAGTGCTGGATCTGGAACAGACAAACTTAGACGAGGATGTGAGTGTTTCTCTTTCTTTACCTCATTGAGTTTCTTACCAATCTCATTTCCTTTCCAGCTCTATGACCGCAGGGTCATTCTTGTTCTTTCTCTTTCCATCTTTAAAACTGTCTGAGCTTCTGTTGTGACGAGTGCAGCGCTCTGATTTCATTTATCTTTGTTTTTATTTATTTTAATGTAATTTGTAATTTATTTTTTTTATTTATTGTATTTTAATCAATTCATTTAGGGCTGCACGATTATGACAAAAATCATAATTGTCGATTATTCCCTTGAAATTGTAATTGCGATTATTAATTACGATTATCACAATTTACATTGAATGATGTTTATACCATTGTTTTATGCAACATTTAACACCGGATTGGTTTCTTCTTTAAATTATAAAAAAATGTTATACTAAAACTAAAACTAAAACAATGGAAAAACCCTTAAGATAACATGTAGAAAGAAAAAAACACATCTTAAGCACGCAGAATAACATAAGTGGGTTTTGAACGATTACGTAATTGTGGCATCCATAATTGTAATCGTGATTAGAAATTCGATTAATTGTGCAGCCCTAAATTAATTAATTCATTCATTCATTCATTCATTTTAAATAAAATATGTACTATGAACACATATTCTGATCATCACTATTCACATATCTATTTATTTGTTTATTTCATTTATTTTATTTTCATTTCATGTATTTATATTATTTGAATTGATTTTAATGTAATTTATTTTTTATTTTATTTTTTTTTGCAATAAAAAAAAATGTACTGTATACACATATGCTAATGGCTGTTTGTTTTTCATTTATTTTTATTTATTTTAATGTAATATTTTTTTTAAATGATTGCATTTTAATATATTTTAATTATTTATTTTATTTTTATTTTATTGCACATAACTGCTGCTCTGAGATCAGTTTCCTTTAAGTGTTGTTGGAAGTTTGTCTGGCCATGGCAGGTTTTTGTCCCCCTGCTGCAGTACCATAATCGGCATGTTTGTTGTTTTTCTGTGTCTATAAGTATTTGCTGCACTCCTGCTGCACCTATTCTTCTTTACCTTTAAACCCTCTTTATGAACTGCTTTGTACTTGTTCTTGTTTTGTGGCTCCTCCAGAAACGTTGAGCCTGTCCGCCTCCTCTGTGAGAGCTCTTGTATGCAGACATTGTGATTGGACTACCGGTAAAATTGATAATTTGAGACCAAAGATTTAGACACTTTGATCCTGACCATGTTTTGCTGAAGTGTTTTTTCTTTAACTGCTAATACGACCGTTTTACATCACAGACTGAAGAAAATGAAGCATTGCTTGGTAATTGGTTGACCTAAATTGGTATTATCTGATTGTATACTTAAATTTAACATCTTACAGCTATTCAATCTAATTCATTACATACCTTTCTATCAAAGTAATCTGACATTATCAAGATTAATTTGTTCTGACACAGTCTAACTCAGGAACACTGTGGACATTAACCCTGTAAAACCTAATGTATCATATTTGATACATCGGTTTCTAAGTGCTTTAACACTGTCTACTACATGCCTTCTGTCATAGTGTATGCTTTAAAAGGCCTTTTATGATAACTGTACAAAGGTCCATTTTCAGCTTGTGCTTCACATGTCTTTTTTTACTGTGAAATCTACTGATTTTTATAAATTAAATGTAAAAATGTTTTATATTGTTTACATTGTTAGTAATAATTCGAAATTAACACTTACTAGACTGAAGCAACTTTATACATGTATGTTTTATAATAAAAATATATTTATAATACAAATGTTGATACTCAACAGAAAAACTCTCACTTTATACACACACATTATATATATATATATATATAATGTTTGTGTATAAAGAGAGTTTTTCTGTTGAGTATCATGTTTTATGCATCAGGCTTCTAATGCTTGTATAGTTTGATATAGTGAGAATATGGAGGCAAAACTGTTCAGTTCAGTTATTCAGAGACTCAAACTGAGCAAGAATATGCAATTTGGTGATGAAATTATGATGCTTGTAATGTAAATCAATACGATTTTATAAATATAAATATCAGTCATCATTCTATATTTCCAATAACACGTCTTAATAAGATAATATTTTAATAATCAAAACATATAATGCATATGTAATACAGTAATGATTGAGAGATGAACAAATAAACATTCCTCAAAAGCCTGATGATCATATTTGAGACTTTCTGATTTTTATACAAAAATATTAATAATAATGATTGATAATCAAGTAAACCTTCAGTCCAGTAAGTGTTAATTTTGAAACATTAGTAATATATAAGTTATTCTTAAGTTCACTTTATAAAAATCAGTAAAGACTTGACAGCAAATAGATACATGAAGCACAAGCTGAAGGTGGACGTTTGCACAATTATACTAAAAGGCCTTTTACTTGATAAAAAAAAAAAAAATGTAAACGTTCAATCAGATGACAGAAGGCATGCAAGTAGATTTTGTACAATAGATATTAGAGGCTTTAAAAATTCATGCATCAGTTACTACAGGGCAGGCTTTATGTTAATCATTTTTCCAAAATGAAATGTGAATGAAGCAGTTAAAAAGCAGTTTATTTCATACATGTGTTTAGCCACAGCACTGAAGATGAACATGAACCTCAGAGAGCTGTATCTGGCTGAAAACAAGCTGAACGGTCTGCAGGACTCGGCTCAGCTGGGGAATCTGCTGAAGTTCAACTACAACATCCAGATTCTGGACCTGAGAAACAATCACATACTGGACTCAGGTGTGACCTCTTGCTCCGTATCGTCCTGTTATTGGTCTCCTACTTCAGTAGTGTTTGGACTCGTCGTTCAACCCGCTGTATTTGCTTTTGCTCGTTTCCTCAGGGTTGGCGTATGTATGTGAGGGTCTGAAGGAGCAGAGGAAGGGTTTGGTCACTCTGGTGCTTTGGAACAACCAGCTCACACACAATGGCATGGGATACCTGGCCGCCGCTTTGGTAAACACACACACACACAACTGTGTCCCAAAAGTTTCCATGAGCAAATCCACATCTTTAGGGCTTATTCAAACCAAGAGCAACACAACAATGCAAAGCGAATCGCCAACGGATTTTGTCCCAAAACTATTCACACCAACTATTCGACACAAATTTGTTTGTAACAAGTGAAACAAAATCTATTTCATAATAGGGCTGTATCTAACAAAGACTAACATGATGATTATCTGGACGAGTAATTGACTATTCTGGTTATTTACAAACCATTTTTGAAAATAGAAAATATTTGTTGACTTTTTTTCTTTTTTTCTAATCGTTTCAACTTGCAATAGTTGTAAATAGTGCTGCAAGTTAGATATACCTACATTAGCCTTCACGAGGCTTATTGCTTTTATAAAACGGTTATTCCATATGCGTAGTAAGGTTTCACAAAATAAAAGAGCACATAAAGTTATAAAGTTATATTATCAGCCAAACAATGTAGTTCCTCAGAAACGGTTGTGGTTTCAACAAAGTGGTTGCCGAGCAACACACAAATGTAAGCAAAGGTGTATGTTTGTAGAGTAATTTACAACAGCTTCGAACTTGGCTCAACCAATCAGAATCAAGGACCGGAACTCTCCGTTTTATAATGTAACGTTTGGTCCATAATAAGCATTATTTTGACTTAAAATCTGTTATTGTGAAAATTTACACTTGTATAGGTGTTTAAACTCGAAGTAAAACTTGAAATATAAATTTTTTGTAACATTGTTTACTTTCACATTTGATCAATTTAATGCGTCCTTGCTGGATTAAAGTATTAAGTGAATAAAGGTATTACTGAATAAAAGTATTATCAGTTTCCACAAAAATATTGGGCAGCACAACTGTTTTCAACATTGCTAATAATAAGAAATGTTTCTTGAGCAGCAAATCAGCATATTAGAATGATTTCTGAAGAATCATGCGACACTTGAAGACTGGAGTAATGATGCAGAAAATACAGCTTTGATCACAGAAATAAATTACATTTGAACAGATATTCACATTGAAAACAGCTATTTTATATTGAAATAATATTTCACAATATTACTGTTTTTACTGTATTTTTAAATTTAAAAAAGCAGCCTTAAGAGTCTTCTTTCAAAAGACCGTAGTGAACAAAAGACTAGCCTCTTATGCCTCATTGTATAATGACCCATCATGGAGCTCATCCACCCCAAACACGAGAATGAGATGAGCTCGGCCACATTCAGTCAGATGCTCATTAAGTAGATTGAGAGGATGCTGTGCATGTCTTCCAGCTGCTGACCATGCAACGCTCGTGTTTACGTGTGCCCTGCCGTCTTTTTGTTAATTAAGGACAAAACACACACATTCTCACAGCCTTGTGTGTGATGCACTGCAGTCCGTGCTGGTCTTCAGAACAGGCTACATGATTTTAAAGCAGTGTTTCACAGCAGAAGACTATTAGATGCCTTCGCAAAATAATCCTAAACGCATGCATCTTGAAAATCTCTCACTGCAGAGTTAATCCACTTTCAGTTTCTTTTTCCCATCTCTCTCTCTGCTTTTACCGATCCATCTGGTTTGCTCTCTGTTGCTGTAGCCTTTCACTCAAAGTTTGGAAACACTGAACCTTGGTCATAACGCAGTGGGGAACGAAGGAGTGCACAAACTAAAAGACGGACTCATAGCAAACCGGTCCATCCTCAGGCTGGGTCTGGCCTCCACCAAACTCTCCTGTGAAGGTGAGATCTGGAGAGAAATGTGAAGTTACTGTCATATAAACAATGAATTAGTTTCTTCTAATGCAGATGATATCAAATTTTAGAGCTCGGCTTATGTTAAGCGTGTGTGAATGTGTAGATGATCGGTGTGTTTGTTCGTATGATAGGAGCGGTGGCTATCGCAGAATTCATCGCTGAGAGTCCGAGGATCCTCCGGCTGGACATGCGGGAGAATGAAATTAAAACCGGAGGCCTCATGGCTCTCACGCTCGCCTTTAAAGTCAACTCATCGCTGCTCCGACTCGACCTGGACCGAGAGCCCAAGAAAGAGACGGTGAGTGTTTGTTAAATGGGAAGGGGAATGTATTTACATTCATTTTGCTGCTGCAACACTAACATGTCACAACATGGTTTTTATTCGGACGTTACTTTCCATTGTCATTAAAGTGTTAGGACAGATAAGACCATTTTAATGGTGTCTCTGATTTAAACTTAAATCACAAAAACAACATTAGATATATTAAGTCCAAGTTAATTTCTCTAAGTTTAAAACTCTTTTTGAAAATCAGAAATGCTCATTGAAGTCTTCTTGTGGCCTTCTTCATATATTTAAATGTTTTACAGTATAAAGGTAAATATTGCTGTTTATTACAGTATGATGTTATATTGATCTAAATATATTAAAATTAAAAGTTATATATTAGTATATAATATTTAATGATTTTATATTAATTAATAGATTAAATTCTAATGAAAAAGCAGTGGAAATTATATATACACTACCATTCAAATGATTGGGGTCAGTAAGAATTAAAAAATTAATGAATTAATTAATACTTATTCAGCAAGAACACGTTAAATTTATCAAACGTGACAGTAAAGTCATTTATAATGTTACAAAAGATTTCTATTTCAAATAAATGCTGTTCTTTTGAACTTTCTATTCATCGAAGAACCCTGAAAAATGAAATGCGTCACTGTTTCCACAAAAATATGAAGCTGTTTTCAACACTGATAATAATCAGAAATGTTTATTGAGCAACAAATCAGCATATTAGAATGATTTCTGAAGATCGTGTGACACTGAAGACTGGAGCAATGATGCTGAAAATTCAGCTGAGCATCACAACAATAAATTAGATTTTGCTGTATATTCGCATCTATTTTAACAGCTATTTTAAATTGTAATAATATTTCAGTATTTTTGATCAAATAAATGCAGCCTTGGTGAGCACCAATCAAAGACATTTAAAAGTCTTACCTATAACCAACCCCAAACTTTTTAACCCATACTGTATATATAGACATACATATAGATAGATTTTTTTTTTCATTAACTACACTTAATTAATTATATACCACAGTGTTCATTACATGCATCTATGACCTTTTCATTGCATAACTGCACTGTATCTATTTTTCTCTCACAGGTGAAGAGTTTCATCGAGACACAGCGCGCCCTGCTGGCAGACATTCAGAACGGCTGCAAGAGGAACTTCATCCTGGCCAAAGAGAAGGAGGAGACGGAGCAAAAGATGAGGCAGTCTGTTTCAATGGCCGAAATCGCCACTGAGGACCAAACTCAGGAGGATGAAGATGCATCTGCTGAGAAAATCGAGGAAGAAAACACCGCAGGTCAGGGAGACGCAACCAACGAGGGAAGTGCATCTGACAGCCAAGAGGTCATCGATCAAAAACCGACACTACAAGACGACTCGGACTCTGACACCGAGGATGAGGACGCAGCCGAGGAGCCAAAAGCTTCTGCAAACACCACACATCCCATACCGATTCCTGCAATAAGCGCCTGTAAGGCCGTGGCCTCGACGCCTCCTCTACCAGAATCCCCAGCGGGAATAACGGTGACCGAAGCCAGCGCTGTCCCCGGAGCCCCAGCATCTCCTAGCCGCTGCTTTTCGGTGTCTAGTCCCGGCAGAGGACACAAAATCTTTATGGTAACCCGCGTGGAAAGCCCTCCGGAGCAGCAACAGATGACTGCATTCAGCGAGAGGGCGGCAGAGAGCCAAACATCCACACAAACTAATATAAAAGCACCTTTAGATGCACCATTGAACCAAACAGCATCTGAGCTCAGCACGTTAACATCACGTGCAGAAACAACACCAGCACCTGTTCAACCGCTCAACGCGTCTTCACTTGCGGATAAGCAGGAGAATGTGAAGGAGTCTCAAGCTTCACCGTCAGAAATCGCACAGGAACCTGCCACGCCATCTGAAAGCCAGAAGGACGCCGTCCTTGCCGATCAGACTCACTTAGAGCAGCAGTTGATTGTAAATACAAGCATAGAAACATCGCAAAATGTAAGAGAGAAGGGCCAGACGTTCTGTTCTCACACGGAGCAGAAACAGGAATCGAGTCCCACCCAAACAGAGCCATCAGTTTCAGGACAATCCCGAGATGAGACGCTATGTCCAGAACAACTGCGGGAAGTTCAGCCAGGTGCTAACGGAGAAAAACAAGTGCAGTCTAGTGAGCAGCAGCAGGCCTCTCAGCTGCAGGAGGTCACGAGAGGTCACGAACCCCTAGATGAGGAAGACTGCAGTGCTCCTGACCAGATCTCCACAGAAGAAGCTGAAGGTCATCCGGCTGTGAGTACGGCAGCAGCGCTGCCCAACGGGCTGAAGCCAGAGTTTGCCTTTCACCTGCTTGAACCCGAGGGACCCAAACCAGCCAGCTGCATTATGGAGCATGGTGAGTTACGCTGGATTACCTCATCTTCCACAACATTTATTTGGATTAAATTACATTTCATTGTTCCTAAAACCTATTCACACCAATTCTGATGCTACTAGATGACATGATAAAATGTTTTCTGTAGGGGTGTAACGGTTCAAGTTACTCACAATTCGGTTTGTATCACGGTTTTACAGTCACTGTTTCGGTACGGTTCGGATTTGCTATGTTTAGGGGAAAAAATTACTATATTGTCAAATAAAAATAAAGAAAATAAGAACAAATAATCTAATTACAAGCAAAAGCACAAATAAATACAGCAGAGCAAAGATACAAATAAAATAAACAGTGCATTTCAGGGTTTTTAGTTAGGTCTAACATAGGGCTGGACAATAATTCAATATCAATATGTATCGCGATCACTAGTTTTTAGGTACAGAAATTGAATAAAGTAATCAAATGAAAAATAAAATAGCATATTTGACTGTTTAAATTAGAGCCCGACTGATATGGGTTTTTGGGCCCGATACCGATATTACGGAGTAAAAAAAAGGCTGATATAGATATATCAGCCGATATTCTTTGTAGAGGTCGACCGATAGTGGATTTTGCCGATACCGATAGCTAGGTTGGACCACTCTGACCGATACCGATTAATTAACCGATTGTTTTCAAATTGATACTGAACAAAAACTAAAATAGTGCTTTATTTATAAAAACAGTACTGAACCATACTAGTAGTAAAAATAATAATAATAATAACAGTAATAGTAAATGTTGAAATTAACACACTCTAACAAGGAACAATACTTACACCAGGTAGGTCTAACAGTAGGGCTATTAAGAGATTTTTTTTATTTTTTTTTTACCAATTATCCAAATAATGTTTAATCCTAGAAAGCTATTATCAGAATACAGTATATACGGCAAATAAAAGCAACGTTTGTCCGTGACAAGTGATGTATAATGCTATGTTGTATAATACATAAGACGCTTGTTCTTTGCTTTGTTTTATTTTAAATAAGAAAGTGTAACATTAAAATATAATAAAGTGCAAAAAATACACAAAACTCGAATACTTACGGAGGGAGGGGTTCTAGCAGACCGGTCACAGCACTTGCGGTCCGCGTAGAATTGACGCTCTGTTCGATGTTTGGACTCGCTGTTTGCTACACAGCCTACGGCGAAGCTACGGCATAGGTTCGACGCAGAAGTATAAATCAGCCTAAACAGCGCATCAATTCTACGTGGACCGCAAGCACTGTGATTGGTCTGCTACAATAATAGCATGTTTGTTCATTTGAAGATTCATCAGGCTGATTCAAACCAATAATGCCTGAATTTGTGAGTCTTTCTGAGTGATTCATGAACTAGCTCATTATGATTATTAAAAAAAATAAATAAATCAGTATTGCAATTTTGTATATTTAACCACACATTTCATTTTGAGACTGATATCAAGTGATGATAACATGCAGGTCATTGTTTGAATCATTTTTATTCAGAAATGCTCATTTAGTTAAAGATTCATCAAGCTGATTCAAACCGATATTATCGAGTCTTTCGGAGTAATTCGTGAAAAACAGGTCCAATTTCTGTATATTTATATAGTGAGTCATGTTTATTCAGAAACGTTCAGAGTTCATTCATTTGAAGATTCATCACGCCGATTCAAACCAGTAACGCCTGAATTTGTAAGTCTGAGTGAATCATGAATAAACTGGCTAATTTTCTATATATCATGTATTATTATATTATCATGTATTATAATTTGTGATTCTTTCGGGGTAAATAATGAAGAAATACATACTCATGTATGTACATACTCTCAGTCATTTTCTTGTGAATCAGACTATGCTGGTCACGTTGTATGTTTTTTGCGTGCAGCTTGTGAAGACAATTAAATAGAAAGAAGGGTTTTTTTTTTGCTATTAATGCCTGTTCACACCAAGGCTAATGTTAGGTGCACCGTGCAATAAACAAATTTAATCTCTCTGCTGAACATTTTTGTTGGTTTGAACAGGTGTTTACTTTGTAGTATTTGTTTGTTTCATCTGATCACATGCAACTCATACTCTAAGCTCAAACATTGGTCAAATATTGATGCTTTTGCATCATTTAGTCGTATTGGACTAAGCTGTGAACAGGAATTTATGAACATAGTGAAAGCACAAAGACACGTAATATTATAGTGATTTTGAGCATGCAGAGAATGATTCGGGGTTGATGTGTGTGTGTGTGTGTGTGTGTCAGTGAGCGTGACAGCAGAGCTGAGCTGTGGGCAGGATTTAGAGGAGCTTCTCCTTGATGCCAGTCTGGACACCAGCAGAGATGCACCGTAAATGCTGTAACCAAGGTAATGCAAGGAAATTCCCATGTTTATGAAGGAATTCCTGGAATAATAACTTAACAATGTGCTTTTAAGTAAGGTTAAGTTAACCCATCTTTGTGTCTTCTCAGGATCCACACATGCAGAGAGAATCAGAAGGGCCGGTTTGTTCTCGCCACATGGCATTCGCTCATATTCCTCGGGTCTCTTTCAGTCTTTTTCATGTCTTTTCCACTAATTTTCCAATCGTTGCATCAGAACACAGAGGACTCACCTTCCCTCCAGTGTCCAACTTTGATTGAAATTAGGAAAATCTCTTCTGCGATTCAAACATTTGCCGTAAAGTTGTATGTTCGTACAGTTACCAAAGACGCACATGCAGAGAAACACACACACACTCGCTAACCGGCGACCTTCTTCTGTTCCTCCCCGTTACGCTGTCGACTGTGGCGCCTCACCGCAGCGCTGCTCTCCGCCGCCCCCTGGTGGACTGGAGGTTGTAATGCAGTACAGAGACTGACCGGCTGCAACATGCGAAGACATTTCATTGGTTTTGGCTTTCCGATATGGTCAAGTGGGCAGACGTTGTTTCGTGAGAGCGTCGTTGCGAGTCTCTGTGTGTGTTTGTTGTTATTAGTGTCTCGTTAACACAAAAAAAGACTTGAGATCTGCTTTCCGTTGGAATCGGTCAAAACACTCACTTCTGATCTCAGATCTCACCAGGTTCCCTTCATCAACCAGCACTTCTGAAACCTGCGTGAATGTGTGGAACAATTTATCTGAGTCATCTGAGTGATTCGGACATCTTCGTCCTCGGCAAACGAACGAGTTGTACAGTTTTCACTCTCTCTTACAGTCTCAAACACTCATTCTGTCTTCCATTGGTAAAACCCTGTGTGTCACCGTACGTACCCATCCGAAGACAGGACAAGACACGTTTGCCTTTAAACCTTTTTTCAGCTCTTTATTCCGGCTGCTTGGCTGAATCAGTTTGTATTTATTTTAAACAACCCGAGTCTGTTGTGTGATTCCTTTTTTTTTTTTTTTTTTTTCCTCTTAATGTTCCCCTGATACTCATTCCTTCCTTAGAGGCAACCACTCACACACTGTGATCTCCTGTCTGTCCAACTTCCCTTTCTCCTGTAATTCTTTTTTTAAGCTGTTGTTGTGGGATTTTCCCCCTTTGGTGTATATTTTCAGATTCTATAAAGAGCAAATATTAAGTTTAAATGGTCCTATTTTGATTGGTGGGGGTTTGGGAAAGGGGCGGGTCACTGTGGATTGATTTATATAAATA